TTAGCGAGACAACATGTATTTTTTTGAAAAAAGGGGCGAAAAAATATTTTCTTCCGCAACTAATTAGCGAATAAATAGCGGCAAATTATGGAATCATTCGTTTTGCAAATTTCGAAAAGTGTCCCGTCAACTTGATATACGTGGAATTTTGTTTCAGGGAAACCCAAAGGCTTTATTTTCTGTATATCATATAATTATATTATGAATTGAACTGCATTCTTGTACTGTCTACTTGAATGAATTATTCAGTTGATATGATCCAAAAATTGTATTTCAAATTGTCGGCCTTGATAGGTTGATAAGAAGAGTATCTCAATCCATCCACAAGTTATTATTCTAAAGTAATTTTTCCCAATATCGAAAAATATTTAACCTGCCTTATATACCTAGTCAATTGTAAAAGATAAATATTCCCCCTTTTCACATAAACCCACTGTGTAACCACAACTTACAATTAATCTATTGTTTTAATACCAGTCTAATCTGTTATCAATGTTTATAGTAGACTTTTAAACTTTATAAACTTACTCTGAAATGAACACTGTAATCAAATGAATCGTCCAAAACTAATTATTTACTTTTTCTGTATACAATGGTATTAATATAGAATTCTCAAAGGAAAAGAATCCCATATGTTACTTCTACACAATCGTAATATAATCTAGGGAAATCACAATTCCTGAAAGAGAAATGAAGGGTCGTTGATGCAACAAGCTCCAATCCGGAACTTTGACTAGACCATTGGTTTAGTATATTTATTCGCTAATCAGTTGCGGCGAAAAATATTTTTTCGCCCCTTTTTTTTAAATACATGTTGTCTCGCTAACTTGATATCAAGTTTATCAAAAGTGATATCGCTAACTTGATATCAAGTTAGCGAGACAACATGGGGTCGAAAAAATATTTTTCTTCGCAAAATAAGAATAGGAAGGGGTCAGTAGATATTTTACATGATGCAGATTATTTTCCTGGAAAAAGTGTTGAAAAAAGAGATGGCATTGGTGCTCTAAGGTAGAATGAAAGCTGTACAAGATAAAATCACAACCCCAAAAATAACATTTATGATCCAGGACCCCAGAACCCGCCATACCATTATTTCTTTTTAGTGTTACTAGGTATTTACAATTTTTGTGATGTCAAGTATAAGCAATCTGGAGAGAAATATAAAAATGTTTGTATGACATTTTTGATGATTTTTTTTTCGTTGAAACATTTGTTCAATGAATAGTTATAACTAACTGAACACCTTTCATTATTCTAATTCAATGAATTTATGTAGTCAAAAGTATATTTTTCCATACTGACTAAAGATTGGGGTTTTCTAATAGTGTCTGCCGTTAGTGCTTTTAATGAAGATTTTGCTCAAAATAGAAAGTATAACAAAATGTTTTAATGAAAATGAAAAAAGTATAAATTATAAAGAATAATAAAGGTTCAACAAACATCTCGTTTCTCCTCCCACAAAACGCTAAAAGATATAAAGAAAAAGGATAAAAAAAATAAAAGCACAGGGAATATAGTATTGTTTGAGCACAATACTCACCAGCGAAGAGATTTCTTCCTTCTCTAAACGTACCTAACACAAAGTTTAAAAGTCCGTCATTCTCTTCTCTAAAGATGGCACGGCCCGCATCTCTGTTCCTCACCTTTGAAGTAAAAAAGAAGTAGTTTAAAAATACATTTTTAAATACTTCATTTCAATAATTTGGTTCATAATGAGTTCAGTTACATAAAAGACCAATTTCTATAAATTATTTGAAAAAGAGCGACACCTAAATGCCAACAGTGCTATTTTCAAATCACATTTACACTACTTGGGTACAATCATAGACACTAGTAGATTACTGACAATGAGTCATGTAACATTTTTAAGCTATGTAAAATGTTTTATTTTGACATCACTCAAAGCAGACCCCAACTTTTTTATTTAAAGAAATAGACCTATAGTTACTTTGTACAAAACGTTATTATTGATAAAGTAGTTTTTGTAATGTAATTTCGACGTTTACAAAAATAACAAATTCCAAGAGTTGAGCAATATTTTATCTATTTTTGGCCTAACTCCAATAGTGAAATGACCAACACGAATAACGTTGGAAATATGTACTATTATAGATCAAATATTTGTAAATTCAAATGAGAAAGGAACCTGTTGCGTGGTTGACAATTTTTACTCTGATCATAGAACAATCTTATATGAAGTCCAGTAATAATCTCAGTGATCTTTACATACTACAAAAATATAACCCACTATTCTCGGATGTGTATCGTATCTCAAAAAAGAAACATAAAGCCTTAGTAGAAAAAAACAAAAAGAAATATTATCAAAACAGGATTTTTGCATCGGATGACCCTGCAAAAACATGCTGGAGGGTGATTGCGGAGTTGTCAAATAAATCTAGAGGTTTCCAAAACATTAAAATAAAAATGTGAGATGAAATGATTGAAAATCCCTCTGAGTTGGCAACACTTTTCAACAACTTTTTTGTTACTGCTCCAAATGATCTGGTTTCTCGATTAGACAAAAAAAGCATAGAACCAATAGAAAATACAGATTTTAATCTCAATTCTATTTTTCTGAGTCCATTTCATGAAAATGAGTTACTCAGCATATTAAATAGACTAAAAAATAAATGTTCGACAGGTCCAGATGATGTTCCTCCTTTTTTATTGAAAAAAGTTATCAAATCCATAATAACACCTCTCACTTTCATGGTGAATTTGTCTTTCTCTAATGGCGCTTTCCCAAAAGGACTAAAATGTGGGAAAGTGATTCCAGTTCACAAAAAAAATAGTCGAAATAATTTGGAAAATTACAGACCAGTAATGATACCTTTTGGTTTTCAAAAAGTATTCGAATACTCTTTTCTGGACCGTCTTATAACATCTACTGAAAAATTTGAAAATATAACCGAAAACCAACATGGTTTCCGAGAAGCAAGGTGGACAATAACGGCTTTAGTTTCCTTTTACACCACAGTGGTAGAACATATTGAAGGAGGTGAAAGTCCAGCTACAGTATTTTGTGACTTGGGCAGGGCGTTCGATTGTGTGAACCACGCTAAGTTACTAGCAAAACTAGAAAGATTTGGTATTAGAGGGGTAGCGAATACTTGGATATCAACATTCATAAAAAATCGTACGCAGTATGTTAGAAAAGCCGAAAACAATGGCAGCAAGACTCAGAAGGTCAACTCACAACTGAGAACTATTGAGAGAGGTGTTCCTCAGGGGTCAATATTAGGGCATGTGCTATTAATATTGTGACAGATATAGATCAGCATATCAACTTAGGCAAGTACACTGCATATGCAGATGATTTTTCACTGACAATATCAGCTCCTACAACATCGAAAATAGAAAAGGTGGGCACTTTTTAGGATTGTCAATTAAGAAAGAATAAAGGAGTAAAAAACAAGTCTGTTGTCTATCTGTCTGTATGTATGTATGTATAACTTGTCAAATGTAGGAAGAGCTTTCTAAATTTCGATATGGTCCCGCCCACTAGATGCGTATATGTTACCAAGACAGTGAAAAGCAATATATGTCATGGTTTTGGAAAACACTCCTAATTTTAACAAACCGAATATCAATTCGTAATTTGGCACAGATTTGATTTGCAACAAGGAAATTTTGTGGATCAAAATCAACAAAAATCTGAAAATTGGAAAAGGGTCTTACAGACAAATAATTTGTATAAAAAATTGGCAAATTAGACTTATTCAAATAAACTGATTGCATCTGCATCCAAACAAGTATATTTTGCATTTACAGAATCCAAACTGATATACGGAATCTGATTCTGAGGAAGAAATTTACTTATATTTTGACAAGTGTTGTTGAATCTAAAATCATTATACCATTCACAGCTCCAAGAAGTAAGAAAACTTTTAACTAGTACCGCAAATCTGCAGTATTTTTTTTTTTTCATCAAGCTTAGTTGAAATGTAACTTATAAAATTTGTTGTGCTAAGAGTACTACTATTTTCTTGAGAACCATATTGGTAGTTATCAAATCTATCTTTCTTACTCATAAAACTTACTGTACTTTTTTTGATAAGCAATTCACTCTGTTTTGAGAGGCAAAGAACCTCTGTTTTGGTCCTTTAATGAAAACCCAGATTTATGAAATGTAACACATGACATGATACATAAATCAACATTTTTTTTTTGTCAAAACAGTATCAAATGGTTAAAGCAACAAATTATTCATATAGGACGTCCATTGCATGAGGTAAACTGCAGGGATCCATACTAGGACTCACCTTATTTTTACTTGATATAAACAACATGTTGAAAGTTAATATATCAAGAAAACAAGATGTGAATTTTCTTGATGACACTAGACTTTATATGATGATGATATTTTAATAGTGATGTTCAACTTACCCCACCAATTCTAACGTGTCTCTCATCGTCAGAACTTTCTTCAGAATCAAACAGAGGTACTACTAATCTTCTGAGAGCTCTTTTCTTCTTGACAGACCTAGTAACTGGCGCTGGTTTCTTAACAGGGGGATGTTCCACTTCAACATTTTTCCTCAGCATGTTTCTTATGACAGAACGACAAAGAGCTTGAAGAGACAAAGGTTCAACTTCAACTGGAAATAAAGTTCACATAGAAAATATCAATATTAAAATGTGTTTCCTTACTACTCTGGACCCATTCCTGAGGACCTTCGAGGGGCTGAATCAGGGAAGCAAAAGAGACTGGTAAAAGAGATTTTGATTCCCAAGTTGTTTCAGTTGTTCTTTTAATCTGCATCAATGTATCGTTCAGAGGCATTACAAGAATTCCACCTACTTTCAACAGGTTTTTCATGTAAGTCTCGTACTGTTCAGGACAAGCTGCACCGCAGTACACTCTATCATATCGAGCATTGCAATCACTCGTAAGGCACAAACAATTCCCCTGTATGAATTTAGGTTCGGCAAAATCAAACTCATCAATAGCTCCCGAAAATTTCCTAAAGTCTTCAAATTTTTGATTGGCATACTGCACTACATCAGCATGATATTCCACTCCATGATTTGTACCGTAACTTCCTAGAATGAGTCCTACCATGGTACTTAGATAACCAGTTCCGGAACCAAGATTCAGGAAAGATAGTCCAGGCTTGAGACACAGTCCTTCCAGTACTTCACTGTAAATGCACGGTGCAGAGAGATGCAAATTGCCACTTTTCCATGCCAAATCTTTGTAGGCATTACCTCTGGCCTCAGCCAAAAAATATTCTGCTCTGTCTACAGCTCGAAAAACTCTCTCTATGGTTGATGTTTTAATATAGTCAGCATCCAGTAAGTTGTCTATAAGATCATCATTATTTTGACCAGAGCTCACTACTCCACCCATTTTAACTGTGGAAAATCTTAAATAAAATACAACATTTTTAGTTCCTACATACGTCAAAATCAAAATGAGAACAAACAGAAAGGTACCTTGTCAAAATGGTGGTTTAAAGATAAGTTACACAAACAATGTGCGTTTTACAATACTTTGAACTCTTCCTCAATAGCATAACTGGACATAAAAAGTAAAATTCTTAACAATCACATGAAACGAACAAAACAAATCCTTGTCAAAACGCTGGAATTTGTACCAGAACAGATAAATGGTAAAGTTGAAAGTGAGTGGTAGGGATGTAGGCTATAAGAAAACCAGCTGTTTTATGGGACGTTGCCAGATATCAAAAGCTTATCAAACTATTTTCTATATACAAGATTAACTATGTATACCAGTACGTATATGCGTTATTGGCGGTACCAATTTGTTTTATATTCGTTTTGCAGAATCTACAAATAAACCATAATAATACGTCATATTTTGAAAAAAATGTATTCGAAATTCACTTTAATTCATTCCCATGAATGTTTTGAATGTTTATCATTCACTTCCTGGAAATATTGGAATCTGTTTAGAAACTTAATTATTGCATTATAAAATGTTCTGTTGTAATTTCATTTCAAGTAGATCTTTTTCTATCCACGAGTTCTGAAATGGACTGGAGTTGTATATATAATTCAGATGTCATGTATCCTCTCAAACACAAATAGAGGCGTCATATCAAGTGATTCAGCGGGCTTTTTTAAGGGACTAGATTTGCCTATCGATCGGTTTGGATAATTATCATTTAGAGTTCCAAACCCTTTCGTAATGAAAGGAAAGCATGTAGTATTCTTCATTCTTCATTGGTAGAAGTTCACTCGTCCCATTAACCAATTGTTTCGGGGTGCCTTGTCATCGACTATAATTGCAATATCGTCAACTTTGAACAGAGTAGTTTTTTCATGCCACTTCTCGCGTCGAATAGGTACCTAAGTGTGGATCAATATTCTATTACCCACCGTTTCCAATATAAATCAGTTGAGGCTTATGTGAATTTTCATTATTTTCTGCTTTTTATTGGGTAACTTACATAAGACTGCACATCTCTTTTCGAATCCTTTTTCAAATTTGAATAATTTCGAACAGTTTTTGAGATATTCCCAAAAACCAAACCCCATTTTTGTGGGTAATTGTTTATGACTTTTGCAATTTTTACACGGAGCACTTGGATTTTTTTCAAAAATCATCTACACGCTATTCCGAATCGAATGATACCTCTTTCATATTTTTCGAAGGCGGAGAAAAAGTCTGGCATGAAAAGTACTTGTGAATTAAACTACTAGTTGTAACAATCTTAGTAATCTGTAGCCCGTTTATTCTACCCAATCATAGTAAAATGTAGGATGAATTATTTCAACTCAAGTGTATTTATGAAATTCGATCTATATTACTTTTACTTGCAACCTTAATATAGCAAGAAAAGAAAAATCATATTAAACGATATTTTTTTTACATTTGGCAACACTGATACATGTTCTATTTTGTTCTGCAGCGCATGTCTTGTACTTTCAGGAAAATTAAGGTGAGTGTTTTTTATAAACCTAAATAAAACCTGCTGATGAGAATTATAGAATGTTTTACGGAAGGAAATAGAGAAAACGCCCACTTTTTGGGTTTCGTCTTGAATAAATAAACTCAAGCGAGACAATAGAAAAGTAGCATGAGTAGGTATATTAATTTTGTAGTTGCCAGTGGTAATTCTGGTTCAAATTTTTATTTTTGTTCAGGGGGAATATTTTTTCATGACAATTCGTTTCAGTATAAATACTTGAAAGAACCAGAAATAAAAATCGAAATTACCCAAACAAATTTCAAGATGTCTTTTATAGTTTCTAATATTTTTTGTTAATGCTTTTGAATGCATAGCATAAAGAAAATTAAAATATTCCATAAGGAATAGTTTAATTTGTTTTAAATGAAATATAAAATACATGTTTATAGGTTGAGTGCGTAACGCTTAACAACTACATTTGAATGCTAATAATGGCCTCCATTTTACGTTACACGTTCAGGGTAATTATATCCCAATATTTATTTTAGGGTAATACATGATTTTATGTCATAGATTCAGTTCTGCAAACCTAATATTCATCATGGAGATTTTGTACCCATCTCTAGGAATAGTTGTTATTGCATAAACTCAGTTTTATATAAAAGGGTTATGCCAAATATTATTACCTGCACCTATGCGTCTGAATAGGTACCTATGCAGAAGAATTCAAAATTTTAAAGAGGTAAGGAAGCCATTTACAAGCTTCACTTCTTCAATTTTGTCATTAGTTGATAAGAGGCACACACTGAAACGTTTATTTTAACGAAAACTCCACTCCTTATAGTTTTTGGTAAGTTTTCAAGGCAGAATTTTGTTGTTAATTGAAGCGCGGGAAAATTAACTTTAGAGAAATCGAATCCCCTCTTGTAATCGACGCGTGCGCAACAATAATATTACGGAAATTCTATGAAAATCTGCTGAACAGAATGATCACTTTGGTTCTGTCCTGTCATAAAATTTTAGATTTTCATTTGTGAGCTGGTTGCGGACGTTTTTAGAAGGTATTTAATAATTTATTTTTATTCCAATTATAATTTAGTTCACTTGAAGTGACCTTTACCTTGAGGTTTATTTAACAAAATAATAAGTTTTTGTGTCTTGGTCAATCACAACCGTCTCAGACAAGGAGCATACCATACTTATAATAGTAACATTTCATATATTTTTTATTTGCTATGAAGACCAAACGCTAATAATAGTAATTATTTACTGTTAGTTTCAAAATAATTCGTGTTACCTGCTTCTCCTTATAGCAGGTTCAATCTACATTATTATTTAGTACAAAGTATTTTCAAAAAAACTAACTTTTGTTTATTTTCGGTTTTACAGAAATGTCTTCAATTACTTCTACAGAGTTATCCAGAACTCAGGAGGAGTTGGATAATTCCAAAATTACCATTAATTCCAACAACAGCAAAATTATTTTAGAAAATAATTCATCTGATGTAACCATCTCCAAGTATGAGGGGCCTGCTTCATTTACCAATTTACCTCAAACTTCATCTTCGTCGGTAATGATGAAAACTCAAGTTTTACCAGTAGTATACTTTCAAAATTCTTCTAAAGTACCACTGTCAAGTGTTGGTAAAACGAACAATGTCATTGTGAATAATATTTCACAATTTCAGCTTGCATCTCTGGCACCGAACACAAATAGAACAACGACAGTTTCTACAGCTGGTACTGTATCCTCAAATCAGAACGTGATTTTTACTACAGGGAGACCACAGTCTTTGGTAATACAAAAGCCGCAGGGCAATTTATTGCCTGTGGTACCAGTACCTATCAATACGACTGCTACCAAAATTGCAAGTGTTTTAACCGTACTTAAGCAAACTCAAAAAAGTAGCGATTCTATCGGTTCAAATGTAAATACTATTCAGATTAACAAAACTGATATAAACAAATTGCACGATTTTCCTGTCATCAACAACAACAATACCTTCATTCAACCTCAAAATTCATCACAAAAATTTATTCTAACTCCAATGCCTAAATTATCTTCAGGAGCTGCAGTCAATAGTGTACAGTCGAAAATAACGTTATTACCCATGCCTGTACCCAATTCGGAACCAATGGTCACCAAACAGCGAGTATACAGTAATATTAAAATAAGCGATGGGCAGCTTCAAAGTGATTCCACAAGTATAACACTCATGTGTGATAATCATTCAAATGAAAATAGTATGGATGTGGACAGTAATAGCGAGAACTTAGTGTGTGATGAAGTGATTGACTTGGACAGTTCAGAAAAAAATGATCTTGTTAACAAGTCATACGAACTCAGCATAACGGAAGATTCTACCAGTTCCCAAAACGAGCTTCGCACTTCTGTAATACTTTCTAGACCTCCTACAAAAGAGTTACCCAAGTTTTCAAAGCATGGTGTGTCAATTTTGAAAAAAAACTATAGTTTTTCAGAGCGAAAAGTGGGAAAACCAAATAGTTTGATTATCACCAACAGCACGAGCCCAATTTCCGAAAGCAAGGAGATATCAGTATCAAAACCAAGTACAAGTGAGACTGAAAGTGTGATTGTAACTGTCCCTGCTCCCTCCAAACCAGAAAAAGAACGTAGGAGAAAAGCAAATTTTTGTTACCGTAAAGATTTTGATGAGATGGAAGTAACATCCAACAACTCCTATGGTCTGGAAACTTCTAGTAAACCTTCATATGAAATTACAAAATGTTCAGTAGTTACTGTAGATGAACCCAAGAAGAATCTCACTAGTGAAGTTGAAATAGAGCTCATAAAAGAAAAACCAACTCTTACGTCCGAGGAATGTGATCTCCACAAAGTTCTAAACTGGGATGATGGAATCGGAACATTACCAGGTACTCAAGTTAAATTTATTCTGAACGAGTTCAATTTAGTTGAATACATCACTGAGGAAGAGTTCAAGGCAATAATTGATAAACGTATTGCAAAAGCAAAGGAAAAAATGAAAACAGACTTTCCAGAAGAAATGCGTTGTTTGCAATGTGGTTGTTACGGTTTAGTTTCTGATTTCATAAACCCCAAATTTTGTAGCTATAACTGTCAGGAGTCTAATGAAGCTAAAAGTAAAAAAGAAAAAGATGATAAATTCAAAAAGAAAAAGAAGAAACTCAAAGATCCATCACCTGAAACTGAGAAAGAAGAAGAAAATGAACCAGTATTTCGTGATTTTCTCCAAGTCAAGGCTTCCTCATGCCCTTGGACTTGCAAGAAAAAGGGCTTCTCCTGGTCAAAATACCTTGAACATATGAAAGTCAAAGCTGCTCCAGTAAAACTATTTAAAGACCCCTTTCCTTATACTAGAAATGGGTTCAGACCTGGGATGAAACTTGAAGGTGTCGATCCTCAGCATCCTTCCTATTTCTGCGTTTTTACAGTTGCTGAAACTGTTGGATACCGCATAAGGTTGCATTTCGATGGATATCCCGACAACTATGATTTTTGGTGCAATGCTGACAGTATGGATATATTTCCAGTGGGTTGGTGTGAAAAATATGGACATGTTCTACAACCACCAGCTGGCTTCACTGTAGAGAACTTCAACTGGATACAGTATTTGAAGCAAACTAAGGCTGGTGCAGCACCAAAGCATCTATTTGCTAATAGAGCTGGTCAGGTGAGTTTTTTCAATCATAACACTGAGAATTTGTTCATAAAAATTGCTTGCTATATTCTCCCAAAAGCACCTTCAAAAAAGTTATCAGTGCGTTTCTTAGTCCCCAATTTTTTAATTGGATTTAGGTACTTACTAATATTCATCTTGACTAATATTCTTGAAAAACTAATTGATACAGTTTATTGTATGATTTTCACTATAAACTCTATTAACTAGTTTTAATATGGATTTTCATCAAGTATCGGTCAGTTCTATTCAATTAATATTCTTGACTTTCATTCCAACTTGAAATATTTTATATATAAATACAATTATGAAATATTTTTTTTATATCTGTATTCTAGTTGCTTTGTTTACAAGAAAACCACAGCATTTAAGTTTCTTACTTCATTACATGATCAGTGAATAAAAGAGATGTAGTAGATTTTAAACAGAAGGACACACCTAAATTATTTAGAAATAAAGTATTCGCTATTAAAAAACAAAGTATCAGATGAGTGATGGGAATACCTAACTGTGTACAGAGATATTTTTTTCTGACTGCCAATTTAATATCTGAAAAATACGCTAGTTTCAAAACTTCCGCATACACAGTATTTTTAGGTTCACATACAGTATCACTGTGTTTTCCCAGTGATATTTTATTGTTCAAAGTAATTTCAAGAAATTTAATATACACAGACATTTACAATAAATTTTTCTGTTCCCTCTTAGTTATATATCAAAACTTTGATGAAATATGCCAAGACTGACATATTTTTCAGTTGAAAAAATTATATAGGACAGTTTCATCCCTGAATAACTTAGAAAAGTTACATTATTTTTTCACGTACCTTTTTTTATATATATACCATTGTTCCACATAATTGTAATTCAGTGAATAGTAATGAATTATTTATCATTTTTCTAAATTGCGAGCTTATATACTAGAACTTGGCATTTCCTGTAATTGGGTGTGTATGCCCCTTGAAAATGAATGATTAATCTATCTGTCTATCTAAACTCAAAATTCTGATATATATTTTTTAGTACAAAAGTCATAAAGTTTTTTATTTTCATCATTCATCAGGTCACTACTTGAACAATACTGATGAAACTCAAATGCACAGGTATTGACTATCACTGCTAAGAATTTTTTTTTGCTTGAAATGCTCTCACCAATTTACGTTTTTCTTTATTTTTATAGCCATAATATAATGTTCTCACCATATATCTGCTACATTGCGGAGAGGTTATCGAGAGTGCTTAACATGTATTTGCTAGTACGTGTATTCTAGCCCAAAGCACTTTTAATAACAACGAATATTTGGAATATACATTGGGTAGAAAAAAAGCGTTTTCTATACAATTCAGTGTTCATATAAAAGTATTTGTTTTGAAAGAATTTTTCTTTCGTATAATTCAATGTTTATTATGATAGTGGCTATTTCAGGAAGGCTTTTTCTTCCAGATTTGTGTCCGAAAGTTACTACTTTGCATGATCTACACATCTATGTATTGAGTTACTTTTTTTAATATTTATTACTTCCTTCCTTTCTTTGGAAGATTCCCACTTTTTTCTATATCAAGATGGAGTACTAGAAAGCCAAAAATTTTCTTCCCAAAGATCTAACAGTTTTGTGAATTCAGAAAAAGTTTACCCTAACATTATCCAAAGTTATTGCTTGAAAAGCTACAAGATGAGATTGTAGAGTACTAAAAACTACTGTCGAAGTTACAGTTTTTTCAGTGTTGAGAAAATATTCCTATGGCAATATACCATTTATATCCTGGAAACAGGCTTATGATCAGACTCATGAATTAATGATTGTTTCAAAATTTTGAAAATCTAATTGGATTATTCAGGTTTATTTCAATAAAAAAATGTTTCGTGTTAAACCCCTCAATTTCATCTGAACACGTTCCTACATATTTTGATTGAACAAAAAAAAAGTATTCTGTCATATGTTTATTTTTCATTTACTCAACATATTATATCCATTTACGATTTATTTGGTCAATATTGAACATCATTATTTCATGATAGAGATTATACCGAATGGAGAAATCTTCCGATCCTCTATTAAAATCGTGTATATTCTAAAAATTTATATTTTCTGCTGCTACATACAAATACAATCTTTTTCCCTATTCAGTATTACTGGAATTTTATAATTTCTCTTGTTATTTTCAGTCAATTTGTCCTAATGGATTTAGGGTTGGTATGAAACTAGAAGCTGTTGACAGGAAAAATACTTCCCTAGTTTGTGTGGCGACTATTCGAGATATGATGGATAATAGGATTTTAGTTCATTTTGACAGTTGGGATGACATATATGATTACTGGGCTGATCCCACATCACCCTACATTCACCCAGTGGGGTGGTGTGACCAATATGGACATAACCTCACTCCTCCAAACGGTAAGCAACTTATTTTTTTTTTATATTTAGTATTTGTAACGGTTTTACAAATTTCTCAACTGCTTAGTGAATCATGAATTACCTTTTTCACTTTTGAAACCGTGAACCTTATTGTTAGGTTCAGTTTGGTTTTGTAATTGAAGGATTTTTAAATTTTTCAGAAATTCATTTTGCAAATACTAACCATCAAAAGTGAAATACAAACGTTTTAATTGAAGAGTAATTATCTGATGATTTGTTGTTAAAGGAGCTTAAAAAATACATTAATAACCCAATTCTTTTTTAGATAAGAAATTAAAGAAAATACAGAAAAATGCTGATGAAAATCTCGATAAAGGTAAATCTGTATTTTAAAATGTTCCTTATATTATTTTACCTAATTTCTCATTCTTTAAATACCCTGCATATATTTTATTCATACCTTCTCCAAACAAACTTCTGAGATGATTTATTGACAGTAACATTCTCAACCAACCTAGGATGAATTTCTCAATGTAAGAAAATTTCTTGCATCATAACTGTTCTTTATTATATTTTAGCAAATTTTTTAATTTCTTGAAAAGGGCATAAAATTGAAAGCATTATAATTTTTATCCCAAATGACATTCCAGTTTTTAAAATACAAGAAATAGTTGAACTTTTTTTTTCATATTTCAAATTTATGCGAAAGGAGGAAAAAGTCCGAACTTATAGTATTTTATACTTGTGTATCTGGTAGCATGTTGTAAGGTTTCTAAATGTGAAAAGAATTGGTGAACTGTAAGATTGTGAATTGGCCTTTTTTGGGAAAGTTTGATCATTTTCTTTCACGTAAATTACTAGTTGTAGAATATAAAACAATGATTGATGCCATTGGTGACATTTTATAAATGATTCGTAATATTTGTTTCTGAACTAAAAAAAAAATGAAGAGTTGAAGGCACCCAGCCATAAAATAAGAGATTTAGTACATGGGATGTATGTTTCAGATTACATTACAGAGAAAACTCAATTTTGTGGTTACTTTGTATGATTCTCAAGTAAACTTAGGATCCAGCATTAATTCCAGAAATTTCGTTCTGTTAATTACTTCAAAAGAATTGTTGTCGATGTGTAAATGACAAATCCAATTAGAAGCCTTATTTTTTGATACAAACTGCATATATATTGTTTTCGTTGCATTTAATGTTGGACCATTTTCATGGCACTACTCACTTAATTCAATGAATGCTTTACTACAATTCTCATTGTAGCAGGAGTGCCAAAAGTTTTGTTAATATCACTGATCTAAATTATAAAATCTAGAGGTATTCTTATAGTGGTTTTCATTGGATTTGATCATTTATTATTTGGAACAATAGATTGAGACAGTGACTTGGTGGATACAATTCTACCCAATCATATGGTTTAACTTTTATCCTCATTACCTCCATATTTGTTAGTTATAGTTTGTGATCTTCCAATTCAAATATTGATGATACATTTACACCCAGTAATAGAAAATATCAAGAATATATAAATATAATGGAAAATAGATTTGACACAATATCAATTAGATTCATCTGAATTGAATGAGATGAAAAAATTGTTCACCAGGAAATTATTTGAGTTTCACTGTAATTTGAAATATTATCCACTTAAAACTGATATGCTGATGAGAAAAATCTTGAAGTTTCAATTGTGTATGTATACCCATATTTCTATTATTTTCAAGTTGCTACCCTTAACTCTTTGGGTTAATAATCATAAGTGTATAAGTTTTTTGTTGAAAACTGTTTTTTCTTCAAAAATTGTAACTGATATACATTTTGATAAGAAAGTCTATTTTTAGAATAGAATAATTTCATTGTTCTTCATTTTATTGTACCTCAAATCACTAATCCAGTGCAGTTGCTACTTTGCAGTGTAAAGTTCAATGATATAATGCATTAAGTGATAATTATAATAATATATTCTGTTTATGTGTGAAACAGCAGAATAATTATTGAGTAAAGTTTAAAGCAAGCAAAATTAGAGAAAATGTCTTTGTACGTAAAAAGTCATTGTGTTTACATTATCTATAAAATGTGACAAATGTAAATGATTTTGTATAGGAGGTTGACATTTTTTTTAATAAGATTTTACACTATCATAAATAGAATCTCCATTATAATGAAATTATTTTTTGGCAAAATTCAACTTGATTCTCGCAGAATCAGAATCATTTAATTGCCTTGTATTATAATTATGAATACTTTAATTTGGTACAAATATTGATTGATGGAAATTTGATGAATGAGTAGTTCTATAAATTCAATATAGTTTTCAGATAATACACTTTATTCTTCAATTAAGTAATGTTTTTGAATGTCTCAAGATAATATAGACCCCTGTAATGAAATACTTCAATTTAGAATATGTCAGACTGAGTGCCACTATTTTTTGGGTTTGAAGGCCCAGCGAAACGTCAGGAAGAAATTCCAAAAATCGACGCCCTACCAAACCCGAATAATAAAGAGACACTGATAGCGTTGGCCACGAAGGTCTTAACCATGTTTTCATATCATGCTGAAATAGATAATTTTTAAATATTTTTCATGAATATGTGAATCCTTCTATACAAAACTCCTATAACTAATGTTATATTCTTTTCTTACAGTTGAAATATGATTTGACCACAAGAGAATTGGTTTAGTATATTACCCCAAAAACTCAGTTTATTTACCTCAGAAAAAAATTGGATCCAATTATTGATCCTTGTGGAACACCACAAAGTTGGGTTCATAATTTCTTACACATACACGAACTAGGAGTATCAATATTCAGAACATCGATCAATATTATCATATTCTGAAGAACGGTTGGTTGTGGAACAGGGTCAATTGAAATAACAATTGTTTTCTTGCCGACGTTTCAAATTTAATTAAATTTTTCTTCAGGGCTGGAGAAGTAGTTTCTTCGTGTTGATTATATTATTATTTTAAAAACCATCAGACATATTAGAAACATATTAAAAAAAATTAAAAACATTGCAACAGACAAACTTTCGAGACAGCACCAACACAAAACGACAAACGTTTGTTTCATACAAATTATTGGATCATTAAACTAGTTAACTGATTATCATTATTAATCAACATTATCAAGTTATGGAATCAGTTCCGTAGATAGTCATATAGATACGTTAGTCAACTATCTTATCACTATTCTATTTTCTGTTATTAACTTTTTTTTTGAGACATGATGGCATTACCAATCTCATCTAGTTTTGTCGATTATATTTATACAACTCCTTTCAGCAGTCTGATAAGAATTCTTCTTCCTATGTCTGTCACTTCAAAATTATATTTGTTTCTATTTCAGACTACCCTAACCCAGAATCTTTCTCCTGGGAGGTCTATTTGAAAGAACGTAAAGCAGTGGCTGCCCCAGTGAGGGCCTTCAAACAGCGTCCAGCATGCGGTTTCAAGCGAGGAATGAGATTAGAATGCGTCGACAAACGAGTTCCACAGCTCATTAGAGTGGCCACAGTCGATGATGTCAAAGAGCACCAGATCAGAATTCACTTCGATGGTTGGATAGATAGATATAGCTATTGGGTGGACGACGACAGTCCTGATATTCATCCCATGGGTTGGTGTCAAAAGACAGGGCATCCACTAGAACCGCCATTGAGTAAGTAAAAGTTGTACATATTTTGGAATATAACTTCTATATTTTGATCACTACAAACTAACTTATCATTTTAAATTTATTTATGTATTAACTTCTTTAAATATTTTTTTGAAGCATGTTTTGACAATTAAGTTGAAAAGTTACAATCGCTAAATATTGTATCTTCCTATGATGAACATGGGTCGAGATAGACATTTTTGAAGTTGTTTTCCTTGAAATTATCATGTTTGGTGTGTGTCTTTAAGTTTGTTTTTTTTTAGCTCCAGATGATGTTTATGATTTCCTGGAATGTCCAACTGTGGGCTGTAGGGGCGTTGGTCACATTAAAGGCCCAAAGTTTGCAACACATTCTGTAGAGAAAAACTGTCCATATGCAGAAGACAATGTCGATGCCGAAAAAGTATTACCCGATAGACTTCTTAGTCCAGACAAAAGCCCTGAAGCAGTGGTTCCTGTATCTAGGGAACCCAAAGAATGTAAAATGTAAGTTTATCAAATATTTCACCATTTGGGATTTGCTGTTTTAAGGAATTTTGAGTCGCCAGCCTAAGAATGAAGATTACAAAATAATTTCTATCCATTTAACGCCAATGTCTGAATATTATTATGTCTGTTATAGAACTTGCACCAACTTTTAGGGTTATTGAAATTATGAATGAGGAACCAAAAAATCGTTTATTGCACATTTGATAAATCACAATTTATTTTTAAATCAATATAATAGTTCAGGAATATGAAGTATAATATAAACAAATTTTCGCCTCAGATAAGATATGCAATACAGGATATTCTGACAGTTTGTGGTGCAATATTTATCAGTTATCATCTATTGATAATAGCCATGTCTATTTTAGTTCAGGAATATGGTAACGTATACCATGAAATGAACCTGAAAGCTGGTAATGCCAAATTACAAAAGAGATATGATGGAGAAAAAAATTATTTGAGAAATTATGAGTTCAGTTCTTACCCTTAGATACCAGTGAGTTGAAAATTTAAATTGTTTTCTGATGAATCCCCCCTTCATTTTGTGAATTTGTGTCTATTCTGCTACTAAGTTGTTGTCTACTGGGCGGTTTAGTCAATTCAGTCATAGGGCTTGTAGCAAAAGTGGAGTGGAACCCTTGAATTGCATTATCTGTCAAAATTTAAAATGTTAATAAAGCAGAACCAGTATCCATTCCACTATTTTATCATTGGTTATCATTTGAAAACTAATTTGTGCTGTAGCTCAAATTGAAAACGATATTAGGGAATTCCCCTGTATATATTGTCATGTTGCTAATCCTCAGCATAGTTATATACCCATACAATTACAGTCTGGCCTGTGCTCACTTTGAGATTAGCTGCTAAATGACTCAGGGGTTGGCTTTTGTTTTTTTGGTAACTGGCACGTGGGACCCTTAGCATTTGCTGCCTCCTGTTACAGTGGCCAATCTGGCACTGCTTCTGGACGTTTTTGTCAGCTCATTGCACTAACTTGAATTTGGAAATTGAAACCGTGAGTGAAGAAGTTTTCAGTAAAGATATAAATTGATAAAAATGATCAACATATTGAATCTATTTTCAAAAGGGACAAAGACAGGTGAAAAATTCTCAGAGGAGACAAACTGAAAGATCAGACAGTCTACTGACAGAGAAAGCTAAACAGACTCAGTAAAATGAATTGAAAACCAATTTTTATTATGCTCTCATAGAAGATTTCTGTTGTGTACTGAAAATTGTATGTGAAGAAGAAGAACACACGTTTCGACTAATTATAAATTTTTCTTGTACAGAACTCTCATTTTCGTTTATGAAATAAAATCCTTATTCACAAGAAATAAAGGACTACAATTACAGTACCATAGCACATACATTTTATTAAACCGACTGTCATAAGAAAAGCTTCTCAAAATTCCGTTTCAAAGTCATTTAACAGTTCTTAACTGCATTTCTCTTGGATGACTTATTAAATCTCTTCCAAAACTTGATCCTGATATCTATTATAATTTCAAATACTTTCATTCCTCAAATTCTTTTTTTTTGGACTTATCTAACTGATATTTTCCCAAAAGGCATTTTCCAGCATTTTTAAATTATACAAGGTAAAGTTGAAATGTTACAGATGTTAACATCCTAAGAAAGAATTTCATGTCTTCTTGTTTCATTCTACCTTTTCGTACGGTATTTCACTTCGGGGAAACTCATTTACTTCAGTAGCTGCTTTCAGATGTTAAAAAAGCTCATTTGGAGCTTGGCAAATCATAACTATAGGAATTGTTATCTTCGGTAATTTATTCAGCCATTGCCCACTTTGTATACTTATATAACTCTCACAGAAAATTTACAAAACAGTAAATTGTTACCGAAAAATAGTCATGACTACAATACAAGATCAGCTGATCTCTTAAACAAACTAAGACATAGATTGACTGTTGTAGAACCACGCTCTCTTGAAGCTCTTCACATTGTACTCCAGAGCTGTACACTATCGTTTTTCTATCAGACATAAACTACTCCATTTAAGGAGAAACCCTCTAATACCAACATTGTACAATTTATCAAACATTATGGAAATGATGAAGTGATATATTATTTGAAAAAGTAAGAGGTCAATGTTAATGTCGATGTTTTCTTTCAGTAAACCGAGAGTTGGCCGCCCACCAAAGCGTCCCTGTCCGGAGTCGTCGAAACCTGTGGAACCAAGTGAAGAAAGTGAGGAACCTCCAAAAAAGAAGCCCAAGAGGGAACACAAAAAAATAGTGAAACAGGAGAGCATGGAATCTCCTGAGGAAAAAGCTAAAATCCTCATAGAGCAGTCGAAACTTCTGCCTGCAGAGCGGGAATCTTGGCACCAGCATTCAGAATTTCTGAAGAAATACATAAAGAGCGAATCTGATCCTCGATTCTGGTCAAATCGCGAAGTGGTGAATTTTGTTTCCAGAATTCCGTGTTGCGGTAGAGACTATGACGTTTTTCGTAATGAGAAAATCGATGGCGAAGCCTTTTTGTCGCTCAGTCAAATAGACCTTCTCAATTTATTGAAAATGAAGGTCGGTCCTGCTATCAAGCTGTATAATAGTATTGTATTATTGAGGCATCATGTGGACCAGAAGATTTATATGTAAAGTGCAGTAAAAGTGATATTTTGAGACTGCTTGTTATTTTATGACTAATGATGTTGACTTTTTTTAATGTAAATTGTATATAGACATTATGAAGAATATACCTTTTAATTTTTTATTTTTGTATCTACTCATTTCCTGATATGAACTTAGAATTTGAATGCTGGTGATATGGCCGAAACAGTTTTTTTGCACTAAAGCCTCTGAGTGCATTAACCACAAAATATTTTTTATGCGGATGGGACACGTTCCGGTGCAGGTGTTTTCAGTTGCAGAGCGAGGACAGAGATATCAACCTGCCTAGGAACTTAGACTGTATTTTAAGCAGAAATTTACGCTATTGAATTGTGTGCGGATTGATTGGAAGAATCCAACCTCATACACAAGTCAATAAAAATATTCTCGGAGTGTCAAGCGACGTTGGAAGCTCTTGGCTCACTTGTTAGTATATCTTATAGTGTGGCTCCAGTAATTGTCATTGTGGTATCATCTGCAAACATAGTTATATAACAATTATCAATATCAATATATTGCGCGAGATCATTAACAAATATTACAAACAGTAAAGGTCCCAATACTGATCCCCGAGGAACTACTAATGTTACGTCATGTTCCTTGGACATGATATTATTATATTTGACAGTCATACGACAACCACTTATATAGGATTTTAACCAAGATAATACGTTATGTGGAAGACTTAAAACAGATTGTCTCTGGTCTGGATTCCTGGCTGACTCCCTTGCAAGGAGGGTGCTGCAAGCAGCTTCATCGGACCAGAACCTGTTATTGGCATCGCTTTAGGTTTTGTCAAAAAAAGATTGAACACCTGAATGGCAAGAAGATTTATGGGCTTCTGGCAGAATCTTCCAGGATTGACTTACTTCAAGGCGTTTATTCACCCTTCTAAGCTTGATACCAAACAGTTGTTGGACTGCAGTAGGGATGAACTACGATATCTAACAGAATCATCATATGCAGAGACTCGGACTATCGGAAGACAGTGCGTGTCACCTCTGTTTGGAAAATGATGAAACAGCAGAGCACATACTTTTTGCCTGCCCCGCTGGAGACCAAATCAGGTTTTTAGAGTTCGACAGAGCCGTACTATTACCATCTGACCTATAAGACCACTCACCATACAAACTAATCGGCTTCGTTAAGAAGTTGGATTTATTTGGTCGCAACCCTTGCGGGTTGCAGTGGAGGGTCGAATAGACCCACTCACTTTGGACCTAACCTATGTGAATGGGAAGTATACAATTGATTTGAATGATTTAATCTAGGTATACAAAGTCGATCGGAAAAGCTAAATGAAAGATTAATAATAATAATAATTTTATTGCAATACGATCTACAAGTGGACACAGCAAAAGTCAAACTTTCGAGAAGTTAATTCTCATTTACCCTGAAATTACCAATTTTAAAATTAACAGATATTAATGATAGATAGATATCCTTTACTAGTTCTTTGTAATAACAAACCTTTTCAGGTGTAGAACATGTCAATTACAGTAAACATTATAGAAGTAGTAGAAAATCATCAGGCAGTATCATTACTATTAGTTAAGAATATAAATGGCCACAGATCTATGAATAACAAGGTTATCACAGTTAATATACTCAATGTATTATTACTATAGTAGATACAGAATACGAACATATACATCTATATGTAGGGTTCAAAAGAGACTAAACTACATCACAATGCAGAATGATACGACATGAAAAATTCAACACAAACAACATCATTTTAAATTATCATTGATAATTCTTCCAACGATCAATAAGCTTTGGAGAGAAGCGAAGTTTTCAATTTATTCTTCATAATCATAGAAGACAAAGTTCTGAGAGATTCAGGTATCTTGTTATAAATATTAATGATTGAAAAAGGTATATTTTTTTGAAGATAGGTCAAATGTTCTTTTATATTCAAAAGGTTAGGTATTTTTGTTTCGTGTGTTGTGGGTATGGTTCCTATCATGAATCGCAAAAAGAGATATTTTCTTTGACAAATACCACAGATTCATAAATATATAGACCTGTGTACCAGGTATGATAAATTTACTGGTTAATAATAAAACACCTCCCATATAAAAATAATGATTAGACCTCGTATTTATACCATGCCGCCCATGCCTTACAAAGAAATTACCGACGTTTGGTAACTATTCAGTTTTATGCCATTTGAATTCCCAGATCATCACCCAACATTTACCATAGGCGACTCCAACGCAAAGTCGCGCGACTGGAACTGCAGTAATGGAAATCAAAGAGGCAGACAGCTAGCCATAATACTAGAAGAATTTGAGGATATTGTGGTAGTAGCACAGAATCCCCAACACATTACCCACGAGGAGACCAAGTACCAGACATTCTGGACGTCGCGATAGTGCAGAACATCACTACTACGGAGAGGGAAGTACTAGACAAAGGATCAGCAGACCACAACCCCATTGTAGTTACAATAAGAAGAGGTGAAGTGGAACCAGATAATTCAACAAAGAGAGTCATCGACTTTAAAAGATTCCAGCGCACCATTCACGATGCGTTAGGAGACATACCACGCATCGAAACAAAGACCGATCTGGAGAACGCCACACAACTTACAAGAGTGTTACAGATTATATATTTTGTTTATTTGTTTATCATTCAGTATATATTTTTTTGTTCCATTTAGTTAGCTATGAATGAGATATGTTTGTAAAAAAAGTTGTTGTTGTTGATTGTCAAAAAAGGTCAATAGACGTCAAAAAGTATAATTTGGAATTTTCTTGAATAAAGTTTCTAAGGAAATTACATGGTCCTTCGAGCCGGATTGACATCAAAATATAGTATTTACAGTCCACAAATACGTACTGTCTGAATATCGAAGAAGATCTCAGAGAAAAAATGCTGGCAAGACCAATAATTTTGATGATTATGTTCGATGGCCGCTGGCATTAGAGAGTAATATTCAAAGTATTCATGACACTGTTCAGTCAGAATCAAATATCTTCATGTCTTCGCATCAGCAAGGAGACGAGTTAAGTAACTTTGAAGTCGAAAACCGTTTTTAAAAACAATTTATTTTATTCAAAATTACAATATAAATTTCTAGAGAACTTCTCACATCGAGATCTGCAAAATGGATGAGTAAAAAGTTACGATGATAATCGTTTCTGGATCCGGGGTGGGAATCTGCAAGCACTGCATTTCCTTGGATAGTCTGCAAAATCTCTCCGAACAGCTCCCATAGAAGATCCGAAAGATTCCGGATTTCATGTACTGGCAGTAGGGATGGAACAGATCCAGGATCAATCAGATATTCATCAAAAGTATCAGATTCTACTAGAAAATCGGCAAGGAAATCAAATGAATCCAAGGTATCTTCAAAGAGGGTAGACATTGAAAGGAAGTGTTTGGCGTTGGAGACTGAGGTCACGAGGACTGAGCTAATGAGGGAAATGAAAAAGCAGGAATTTGAAAATCAAATGAGGATTCTAGATCTTCAGAAAGAGTTAACTGAAACTAGAATTGAAGAGAAAGAGGTATGCTCTACAGGAGATATCAGTTCGAGAAAATCGCTTGCAGAGAGCACAGATAAAGAAAGCATGTTCAGAGGAGTACAAGAATGGATTGATAAGTGTGAAGTGCCTTCTGTTACTTTTTCACCAGAAAAAACGAAAATTCAAAACACAAATATGTCACAGGAAAATGACATTTCAAAATTATGTCATGTTGTCGCCGATGCCATTAGAAGTGTTTCGAGGGGAAATGGTTCGAATAATCAAGCAATTGCTAAGGAACTACCTTTTTTTGATGGCAAACCAGAAGACTGGCCGTTATTCATCAGTCAATTTAACAGGAAAACTAATATGTATCAAAACTCAGAGGATGAAGTGATGCTAATGTTACAGAGGTGCCTGAAAGGGGAAGCTCTTGAAGCGTTAAGGAGTTTATTATTGCACCCTAAAAATATTATTCATGTTATTGAAACATTAGAAATGCGTTTTGATCGTCCAGAATACGTCATTGGTTATTTGATTAACAAAACTCAGAATTTGCAATTTGTTAGAGATGGCGATTTTAATAATTTTGTTAAATTTTTATGTCACGTCAATAACCTGGTGGCTACGTTGAAGCAATTTGAGGCAAGTAATCATTTGAATAATCAGTTTTTACTGGAGCAGTTGGTAGGAAAATTACCCAATAGTCTGAAATTACAATGGGGACAGAAGATGGTGCTAAAAGGAGGTAAGGTGAATTTGAAAGATTTTGGAATCTGGGCAAATGAATTATCTTCAGCTGCATGTTACGTAAGTCAAAAAACTTTCCCTACTACCAGTCACCATCAGAAAAAATGTAATAATTCAAGATCGGAAAATATCTTGGTCGCTACAAATCAAGTAAACGATGACCCTAAATGCCTTTACTGTACTAAAACTGGTCATGAAATTTACAATTGTTCCATATTGAAAAATGATAGCATAGATATTCGTTGGTCAAAATTATACAAAACCAAAATTTGCTTCTGTTGTTTGAAAACTGGTCATTCAAAGAGGTTTTGTAGATCAAAACAACGCTGCGGCTTTGAAGGATGCAAATTACGCCACCATACCCTTCTGCATAAAAGTAAAGTTTCTAATGAACTTTCTCATACTGAAAAAATTGATGAAAGTGTTCAAACAGTTTGTCTCACCAACAATAATTCTAAAGTTCTTCTCAGGATAGCTCCTATCAAAATTTATGGCCCAAAACGGTATATAAATACTTATGCTCTGTTCGATGAGGGGTCAACCATATCTTTGATAGAAAGTTAGATCGCAGAACAACTAGGATTATCAGGGGAAACCAAACCTTTGTGCATGCAATGGGCTAAGAATATTGTTTCATATGATGAAGGTTCAAAATGTATCAATATGAAAATTTCTGGAGTTCATGAAGGGACAAGAATATTCCAAATGAGTGGTTTGAGAACAGTAACAAATTTGTCTTTACCTTCTCAAACCATCGTGAAGGATAATTTCAAAGATTATGTACATCTTCAGGGACTACCTATTCAAGATATGGTAGATGCAAATCCTACTGTTCTCATAGGTTAGGACAATATCCATTTAACAGTAGCAAGAAAAGTTT